TGTATAGCTAATTACCACTTATATCAGGCATTGTTCTGAACGTTTTAAATGTATTAACTTAATTAACCATTATAAAAATTATATAAAAATGGGGTATTACAACTATCATTACTACAAGCTTTTAACAAACATATTATAACTATATTAAGAACTTCAATTAAACTTTCAATTTAACTTTTAACAAGTCGATGAGGTAAGAAAGCCAAGTTTCAATGTAGTTAAGTAACCTGCACCAACTTAAAAGCAAGTAAGTGACAGAAAAGTAGCAAATAAGTCTATCCAAGTAATTAACTGCTCTATACTTCAGTTTATTCACAAAATGAGAAATGTTAATTTACTATTTCATTAGCCTCCTCTCCATAATCTTCCCATCACCCTTCTGTCAATAACTTTCCATATTAGGAATTAAAAACTGGTTGGTGGTTAAGATCATATTAAAAGAAAATTCAACAATGTCATAGAGCGAGAAAGAATATTACTTCTCACATTTAGGAATCCCCTGGGCCTGGTGATCTTGTTAAAATGTGGCTCACTAGATCTGAGGTGGGATTTGCATTCCTAACAAGTTTTCTGGAAATGTTTGTGCTCTTGGTCCACAAACCTCATTTTGAGAAGAAAGGCTATAGAGTTTATCCCTCTACTCTACACCCATATACCACTACAGTTCATTTTGTTATGTATGTATAAAAACATATATACATGTGTGTTTAAGAGACAGAGTCTATGTTATTCAGGCAGACTCCAACTCCTGGGCTCAAGATGATCTTCCTGCCTCAACTTCCCACATAACTGGAACTATAGGAATACACCTCTTCATTTTGAAAGAAGAAAAAGGAATTACATTTCTCTGGGCAATTGAAAAGTGCTGTTTTCCTTATGTTTATATAATATAAAGTTAAACAAATTTTTATAAGAAAGATTATCCACTTTTAAACAAAAATATGAAAAATTAAAGAAAATTTTAAAATAAAGCATTCCAATAACTCAAGATTATACCAAATTAAGGATCCAAAGTAAAAGTTTTCCTGATTTCATTTTTCTGTGGAAAAAGTTCTAAAATCCTTCAGATCCATCAAAATCAGCCCCTCTCTACCTTCTGTCTCAAACTCCCATGTCACTCATGCTCCCTCTTCTCCAGCCATGTTTTACTCCTTGACAATCTACTATTTTAGTACTGCATCCATCTCCGAAGTCCTTGCTCTTGTAGTTCTCTACCTTAGGCTGGCAAGTCCTACTTAATCTTCAAGGACCTCAAAAATATCACCTTAATCTGAAAAGCCTTTCCTGGTGCCAGTGGGCAAAAGTAATCTCTTTCTTGTGCCTTCATTATATCACTTGTATATTCTCACTTACTATACCATTCATTGCATGGTTCCAGAGGGTACACTTCCAGCAAGTTCCAGTGGTACAGTATCACACCATTTCTCTGCCAGCCAATGGCCATGCCTTCCCCCAACAAGTTCATTTCTTGGCTGCAAACCACTTAATATTTATATGCTTGTATAATCCCTTCATTTGTGTGATAGGTCACTTCTGAGATTATAAAATAGATAGCAGCTTCCATCTTGTTCTTGTACACCTTGAAGGAAGCCAGTCCCTATGTCCTAAAACAGCCCTACGGCAAGGCTTATGTGTGGTAAGAAACTGAAGCCTCCAAATAATAACTAAAGCGCCCTGCCAACAATTATTATGTGAACAAACCTGGAAGCAGATTCTCTTAGCCCCACTTAAGCTTTAAAATGACTGCAGCTTCCTCAACAAGTTACAATGACTTAGTTAAGTGGAAACCGTATTCCTGACTCTCAGACATTAAATATTTACAAAGTGGCTAAATTTGGGGGTAATTTTATACACAGTATAGCACCCCCTGTGTTATTAGCACAGGTACCTTTTCTTTGTACACTCTCTCGGTCCTATGGATGAGGCTGCTCCTTATTTCCACTATTCCTATATTCTCTAGAACTCTCATTTATAATGAGAAAAATCAAACTTTGGGTGGTTTCTATCCTGATTGAACCCTGACAATATGCCAGATAAAGCTGATTCTACTGGTCAAAGAACTACTAGCTTAAATCAGCTAAGGATTCAGCTCCTGGAACTGAAGTCAATTCCCTTGAAGTCCATGGCCACAGTAAATTCCAGTAAAAGTTAGGGAGGAAATGACTGTAAAGTATTGAGAGTATTTGCTATAGAAATCTCCCATTGTTTAAAACCTGCTATTATCTTGATTCACTGTTTTTCATATTTTGGCCAATACTGTAAAAAGTGCTATAAAAGCCTACTTATGGAAATAATTCAAAGAAGCAGGTTTGAGTGGCTTAAGAACTATACCACATACATATGCAGTTAATCTAAAATGAGAATGTGTAAATGATTAAAGAATACTAATAATAAAATAATTGCGTTGGTAGATTTTATGTAATCTTTACTCATAGCACACATTGTCAAGAGAAACTTATGCAATGCTTAACTTACAAATTAACAAATTACTCCCTGCCTTTAGTTTCCTAGGGGTGTCACAAAGTACCACAAAACTGGGTGGCTTAAAACAGAAATTGATCGTCTCTGTTCTCAAAGCTCTAAGTTCAAAAACATCCTTCTCACCTCTAGCTTCTGGTGTGGTTGGCAATCCTTGGTAATCCTTGTGTGGGAGATGCATCATTCCACCTCCATTGTCACGCAGTCATTTTCTCTCTCCTTGTGTGTCTATAACTTCTCTTCTTAAAAGATTCCAGTCATTTTGGATTAAAAACCTACCCTATTCTAATATGACCTCATCTTAACTAATTGTATGTGCCATGACCTTATTTCCAAATAAAATCACATTTTGAGGTTCCAGTGGTTAGAAATTCAGTCACAATCTTTGTGGGTGAAACAATTCATTTTCAGGAAATCTCATGTCTATCAAAACAAATGCATAGTTTTATGTCTTCTATCTTAATTGCCTCTTAACATGTCTTAAGAATACAAATATAATAAATTTATCCATGATAAAGTGTCTATACAAAAGACAGTGGAGCTTAATTCATATTCATTTTATCTTATGACTTTCCCATAACCAAAAACCAATCTTTCTACCTTTAACCCCCTTTCTGTCTCCCTTCAATGTTCTCTCATTTTCACATTCAAGAACACATTTTCCATTTCCCCTTAAGTATATAATCACAACCACTGGCATAGGTCTCCAAGACAATTTATTACTATTTTAATTGCATAGACAATTGGTCACAAGACACATTCATTATTTGTGGATTTTTAAACAAACTGATTTCGTGTAAAGCAGAGATCAAAATCACAGTTATTGAAATATAAAGTGTAAAAATAAAAATTTGTAATTTTGGTACTGTAAGTTGTCCCAGTATTTATCTTATTTATTGTGAGGTTGAAAATGATGCTCACCTGCCCCTATCAAAAAGCTATCAAGAGTTCACTTCATTTTTCACTAAACCTCGAAGTATTGAAAGAGCAACTAATTATAAATGATTTAAAAAAGTGTTTGCTAGAGATACTTGTTGTAAAAAAAATTGAACACTAAGTCACAAATATAACAGACATATGAAAAAGAGAGGAAACAGAGAAAAACAATATTGACATATGAGTTCTAAAGCATAGCATTTAAATTGCTAAGAAACAGTTAACATTTATTCAGAGCCTACTAGGTAGCAGATCAGGCATTCTGCTGGGCAATTTATATTCTTTAATTCATCACTAACATCCCTGAGTTAGGAATGATTATCCAACTTTTAATCACAAGTAAGACAAAAGGCTTAGAGAAGTCATTAGATTTCATATTCAGACCAATGGCTCTTTCAAATTTACCTTCCTAGTTTTGGCCAACTTCTCCCTTTTCAAAAATAAAATGCATGAGGAGCCAGGGAAGTGAAAAGAGCCTTGCAATTACATAGAGAAAAAGACAACCTGGTAAATGTGTGGTTTTACCAAACATGGACAAATTGTATTCACATTCCAGAGAAAAGTGGCAGAATATGTCCCAGTAAAACACATCATTTTGGCAAAAGGATTATTTTGAGCTAAAAGCACTTGAGAAACAGCAGGTAGGTGTTCAAAACCTCCTGAAAGTAGGAGATAAAACTTCCATGGAAAAGATGCCTGCCCCAATACCAGGAGAAACATTCTTATCACCAGGGACAGGGTGTGGAAGACAGAAGAATTTTATATTTATTAAAATAATCACATTCCTTTATTCTCCGTATAAACAGTATTTTAGTTCCCTTCCAATAATTGTCTCTTGTTGTTTGGCCTAATATAAATGCATTTGGTTTTGCCACTTTCGTCTTCATTTCCTTATGAGGGTCCTATGTCAATAAAACATGAAATAAATTTATGTGCTTTCTGCTAATTTGTTTATGTTAATTTCATTCTCTGGCCCAGCGAGGACCTTACAGAGTAAAGTTTCTCTTCTTAATCCCGTCTTCAATTGCTGGGCACGCAGGAAAAAAAAAAAAAAGACAAGACTTGATTTTATGAACAATGCTTTTCTGCTACTATTCGTCAGACGTAAGGTCCAAGGGTGGGGAACCAACCAAGTATGACATCCACACACAATCAGGCTAGGGAGAAATGCAAATAGGTTTTTGACATTAAATTCATCAGTTTTAGAGAAGGAAGCCAGGAGGCAAGCCTCCTTCGGTACATAAATCTGCATACCCAATCGCCACTAGTACCCTAATATCACTTTTAGGCGCCAGGAAACAAAGCGCTCCATCAGAGTTTTAAAGACCGGAGAGCCCAGGAGGCGTATATTGCCGTTGAAGTGGCCACTGCAATAAAAGCTCACAGCCCCTAGGCCATTCTCGCTCCGCAGGCTGGCGCCGGCGGACGACAAATGCACACCACACTGTGCCTAGCCCTGGACTGCCAGCAGCGACGCGCGCGGGTGACGTCAACGCGCCGCCGGCCGCGACGGGTGGACGCTACCACCGCTGGCGCCCCCCCCCCACCCCCGCCGGGCCTTTCCCGAGGCAGGGCCGCCGACTCACCTTGCCGTCGTGGTGGAAAGGAAGGCCGAACTCATCTGTGGTGGATTGGGTGCGAACACAGCCCGACTCTTCTGAGGTTCCGGTAGTGAGCCCCGCGGCGGCGAGGGCGGCCTCGTAGTCCGGGAAGGGATTGGTGAACGCGCGCTCCTCCATCTCCGCCTCCCCTCCCAGATGCAACTTCAACCTCTTTGACATGGTCTCGCCCATCTCCGCCGCGCGCCCTCTCCCCACCCTAGGTGCCGCGCGGCACGGCGCGCGGGCGGGGACAAACCTCCTGCCGGGGCGTTCCGGCTGGAGCAGCGCTGTCTCGCGCGCCACTCACCTACCGAAGATCCCGCAGCCGGAGCCAAGGGCTTCCTTTAGAAAGCGCGAAACTGTGAGCTGGCTGGATGAGCGGAGTCTTGGAACCCGCTATAGCCTCGCCTGGTGGCCTTCTTCACCGCGGGGTGCCTGTACATCTGGATGCAGCCGGTGAGCTGCACGTGGTGCCTCCGCCCCGCGCGGCTGTTGTTCGCTGCGGCGGGAAAAGTGGGCTCGGCGGGACCTCCGTAGCCCTCGGCGGTTCGGAATACGCTCACGCCATCCGCCGGCCCTGGTCTTGCTGGGACCAGGATAGTAGCCCGCAGAGCCTGTCCGCGGGTACGCGCAGGCTGGGCTGGAGCCCCCGGGTCTGGAACCGCTCCAGTAATGCCGCGCCCCGGTCCTCTCCGGTGGCCGATTTTCTAGAGAAAACCGAATGAACCGCGAGAGGCACGTTCCCGCAGGGAAAACCTGTGGAGGATTTGCTGTCATTCAAGGAGTGTGCTGTTCGCAGAAAAGGAAAAGCGCATCCCCCGACGCTCCATCATCAATCTGCATTTTCCCCAGCCCAGCGATGCCGCCCATGTCCTCAGCCCCAGGTGGTGCGCCAGCCACAGGAATAGCAAACAGCAGCTTTGTTTGATATTTTTAAAGAGAGAGAGAGAGAAAAAAAATCTCCTCTAAAGAAAAGAATTTCAAAACAGACTATCTGCAAGGATAGTCTCCAGGGGCGAGGAATACAGTCCCTCCTATTCATCACTGTTGGGAGGGGGGGGTTGTCTTGGAGGAGGAGCCACAGTCTTTATTTATTTATTTTTAATCTTGTGTTTTATTTTCAGTTTCTTTGTTTTGAAAAAAAAATGGACATCTTTGGTAACAAGAGATAATGTGAAAGCATATTTAATCATCGAAATATTTTATTGACCAGAGAGATCCCTTCGATATTACTATAAATGCCCTGGAGCACAATAAGTATCATTAAAAAAAGGACACAAGCAAATAGAACTTTGCATTTATATAATTATAATATATTAACTTCAGTCTTTTATTGATTCTCTTTTATTCTTCATGCTATTTATTTAGAACCAAATCAATATGATTTGTCCTCCTTAAGAGAAAAGTCTTATTTTAGTGTTCTTCCAATTAACAAATATTGGTGCTAGGCCATGAGGACATAAGAGATTAAAAAGTTTCTGAGAATGTCTAGCTAGTGGATGAGAAATGCAAAAATCACAGCACAGCATAATGGGTACATTTTTCTGAAATTATGTACATGGTGACATGATAGAGAATACCTTACCAATCACTGCTGCCTCTGTGGCTTTAGAGTGGGCTGATGTGAGTAAAGACCTGGCTTCCCACTCTTGCCCAACCCCATAAGGCTGTGGATGTGAAACACATCCTCATATGGAAGACTTAGAAACCAGAAGCTCTGATAACATCTATCCCCACACCAGTTACCCACCTGGGCAGGTCTCTGGGACAACTCCTGCTGTCCTTTTTAACCCTGCCTGGAGAATACCAAAAGAGCAGTGTGCTCTCAGGACAGGTTTATCTTAAAGTGTTTCAGAATATAAGAGATATTAAGGCTTATTCAGATAGGAAATCTGAGGTACAGGAGGAATCTCTGTGGCTGAGTTTCAGCCATGTCTGAAAAGATCTGGGGACTTGCAGGTTGCTACAACCCCAGTCTATTTGCAGTTTGTCTTCCCTCTGTGAGATCAAGACAACCCTCTGGTCCAGGAGCAAAGCCCCATTTGTTTGCACAGGTGCCGTGCAACAATGTGGGGCTGAGTTAGAACAATGTGAAATCTGTACAGCATAGTTTAAAATTTTGTATTTTTCTCCTGCCTCAATATCCTGCTCCCACACCAAAAAAAAAAAAAAATCCCCACAAACAAGCTGTAAACCCCCTGACCAGTGGACCAGGTACACCCATGACAAAGCTGCTCTTGTCACAAATTCTTCTTGTCCTTCTTTGTCTGTGACCTAGTGGCAAAGATACTTTGCTTGGTCAAACATTGGCCAGGTTCCTAACTTTTTCCTATGTTAGTTTGTGCACTTCCTTATGAAATCCACTTTCTGCAAAGTCAGTTTATCAAGAACCCCCTACCCTCACTATGTGATCACCCTTGATTGCTGATCAGCAATCCACTATGCCCCAGGTGATAGCTGATAACCAGGGCTTGCCTTCAGCATCCCATTAGACGGGTTTTGTGTTGCTGACCGAACAAGAACAAATTAGAAGTAAAAAAAAAAAAAAAAAAAGTTTATTTGGGCTGACCATTTCAGAGGTCCATAGATGGCCAACTCCATTGGCCCAACATGAGGCAGAACATGAAAGCAGAAGGGCCATGGCAAGACAAGTTGCTCACCTCATGGCAGGCAGGAAACAGAGGAGAGAGGTGGGAAAAGAAGCCACAGAAAAGATGGAATTCATCCAGGGCATATCCCCAGTGTCCCACCTCCTCTAGGCATGCCCCACCTGCCTACAGTTAACACCCAATCAGTTCATTCAAACTAGAATGTGCAGATTAGATTACAACTTTCAAATTGGATCATTTCACCTCTGAACAGCCCTTTGTTAACAGGGTCTTTGCTTCACACCTCATACCCAAACCATGGCAGTCAGTTTTTCCTCCTTACCACCTGATGGTTCCTCTTAGTAATTTTCCCCCACCTTATTACTTGACTATACATCTCCACTTGCTCTTGCAATGTTCAGAATTGAGTCGTCCAGTCTCTCTCCAATGCAACACTTCATTGCCATGGTCCCTTGCCTATGGAGATAGTCCTGAATAAAGTAGGCCTCTCTGAGTTTTAACAGTTATTATTGAATCACTTTTTCTCTAACAGTAGTAATATCCAGACATTTCAGTGGAATCCCTGCATACCTTTTGTTTGTGTATTCCACCTTGACCCCCAATATTAGCACTTGCCCACAGGTCCTTACTCTCCTCCCCACCTGTTTGGTTGTACTTACTTCCTTGGATCCCTTTATATAGCCCTCTCATGGCATGCATTGACTATCTTACCTATGAGTACATTTAATAAAATTCTTTTTTCTGTGCTTTCCTGTGTCCCCTCCTATGTCCACATCTGACGGACAATCTCACGAAAGAATACAAAACAGCATCTTTGACCCTAGTTTGAACTGAGGAAGGGTCCTAGGAAGAGAAAACTTCATGGATAACTGGGCATTCCTCTATTTTACTGTAGACCACCAGGCTTGAGGGAACTCATAGAGATCTGGTGCCTCATGATCATGCCTGTCAGAACAGCAGAGTCAGTATGGTATCCTGCAAAGTATAGGCAGCATCTGGGGAACAAATAGCTTATAAGCATCTGAAACACACTATGAGGACTCCCATAAATATTTGGGAGGAGTGTCATTTGCATGCAGTGAGCCAGTTAAATATAAGTTACTACTGCTCATATGACCTTATTTATAGGGGTGAAATCTGCCTTACTTGGTAAAGAGGGATATCAGGTATCCCTTACTTGATACAAGGGAGTAAGTGCAACCAAACAGATGGGGAGGAGAGTATGGGCCTGTGGGCAGTTGAAGAAGTGAGATATTAGCCAGGTATGATGGCACATGCCTATAATCTCTATTGCTTGAGAGACTGATACAGGAGAATCAAAAGTTTGAGGCCAGACTGAGTTGGTATAGAAAGAGCCAGTCTCAAAAAAAAAACAAAAAAACGGCAAGATCTTTCCTATCAAAGATGTAGTATTTTTTTTCATAACAAGTACCTTCTCTACTCAGCGCTTCTGCCTCCACCTGTGATTATTTCCTGACTTCTTCAAGCAAAGATATAGGCCTCTTTTGATACAGGCTAAAATTCATTGGGGACAGCTCCACCAATTATAAAGAATGAACTGGCCATCTGGTTGACTACCTGACTTTCTAAGTAGATAATGACTCAGAAACATTTCCCTTCTCTTCCACATGTCCATCTCTCAGGGGATGTTAGACTTATCATGAAGTATTTTGGCATTGTTCCTCTGCTGAGGCCATAGGCAAGGCCCCTCTATGAATAGGTGGGATTTCCCCTTAAATAAGTGGATGTTTTTCTTGCTAGTCTTCCAGCTGGGTCATGTAGACAGAGTGGACCTGCCTCTCTCAGCCCCATCCTCTCGTCCATATGTAGAGGAACTCATTTGTCTGAGGGGACATACTTGGGTAGTTGGAAAAATAGCCTCTACCTCATGAAGGCAATTCTGGAACTGAGCTGGACAGTAGCCATGTATCGATCCCTGTTTAAGGGGACTATGCTGTACCTTTTAATCATATTATTTGTGTATATGTATCTTTATCTATTTCCCTTCTTATTTTGAGAATTTAGAGAGTTTTGGTTTAACAATTGCAGACTGCTTTTATTCATATCACAGAAATTGAGCCCATCCAGGGTCAGAGCATTAAAGTGAAAAGCTGTACCCAGTCTGCAGTCAGCATCGGGTCAGCAGAGGAAGGTAATGATGGCTTACCAAGGAAAAGCAAATTTGGGGGAACCAGGAGTCATAGATCCAGTTTCCTTCCCATGAAGTGGTTTGCCACTTTCTTTAGTGTCTGGAGATTCTGTCCTGGCCAATTAAAGGATAAAGTGGGTTCCCTTAAATTATCCAACTAAAAAGTGGTTCTGAGTTCTTTGTACATCATGGAAATTAACACTCTATCTGAGGTGTAGGTAGAAAAGATTTTTTCTCCATTCTGTAGGCTCTCTCTTCATGCTCTTGATTGTTTCCTTTGCTGTGAAGAAACTTTTTAGTTTGATGCCATCCCATTTATTGATTTTTGATTTTACTTCTTGTGCTTTAGGAGGCTTGTTAAGGACGTCAGTTCTCAAGCCAATGTGTTGAATTATTGGGCCTACATTTTCTTCTAACTATGTGCAGAATTTCCGATCTAATATCGAGGTCTT